AGCCAGGATGGGAGTGGTGGATGCAAAACATTGACTGGCATCTCCAGCACATGTCTACGGTCTATTTATACAACAGAAAATAAAACTTTTCATAGTGAAATCTATAAATGTTTCCATTCAAGCACCACAATTCTTTTAATTTTCAATCACACTTTAAATTTCATCAAAGGTGTCGATTCTAAGCTCAGTGGCCCTGGAAATACATTCAGCTAAACTGTATTTGAAGTATGTTTTTGTGAGAGCTGGAGGTTAATTTCACCTATTTGAAAATTAGATTCTTACTTTTTAAATTATGCAGTTATTTTTCTATAATAACTCATCATGAAAGAAGATAGGAACTTAGTATCTTATTATTTCTAAAAAAAATTCTTTTCAGTTTTTGGCTTCTCTCCAAATAGACGCTCTGTGCCAAGTGTTGAACTTATCTCTGTCTAGATTAAATGCCCCAGAGGGCACATAAGGGGGGATAACCTGTGACTCTGTTACTAGTCAGGAGACCTACTGAGTGGGATTTTTAAAATAGTACAACTTTTGTGTGTGCCCTAGGAAGATGGGCCGCTTCAGATCTAGCTAGAGGAAGGAAGTAGAGATTTTCTAAGTCTCATATTCAGACATAAAAAAGAAGGACAGAAATCAGAGGAGGCTTCCAATTACTTACTATTTTGTAAGAGAATCACAAATTAAAACACAGGGACCTGGAAATAAGAACTTTGTAAGACTCCTTTGCAGGTCACTCCTGCTTGTCATTTTTGTTACTCCTTAAAATCTTTTTTTAATTATTATTTTTGCAGGGGGGTGTGATTAGGTTTATTTATTCTTTTTTTGTCTGCCTATTCTTTTTGTTTTTACTTTTTTAAATTGAGTTATAGTCATTTTATTATAATGTGTCAAATTCCAGTGTAGAGCACAATTTTTCATTTATACATGAACATACATATATTCATTGTCGCATTTTTTTTTTACTGAGAGCTACCACATGATCTTGTATATATTTCCCTGTGCTATACAGTATAATCTTGTTTATCTATTCTACATACGCCTGCCAGTATCTACAAATACCGAACTTCCAGTCTGTCCCTTCCCACCCCACTCCCCCTTGGCAATCACAAGTTTGTATTCTGTATCTATGAGTCTGTTTCTACACATGTCAGTCCTGCAAACCTGGGGCAGCAGAGGCTGCCCCCAAGTCAGGCCACTGGGGAGATGGGAGTACACACAAGGGCCTGCACAGGACAGCCCCACTCCCACCACAGCTGCCCCTGCCTGCTGACCGCACCATGCCAGCCTCCTGGGAGCAGACTGACCTAAAGACATGGGTGCACTGAACCTGGGGCAGCAGAGGCCACCCCCAGGTCAGGCCATGGGGAAGATGGGAGCAAATGACTGGCTCCCAAGGGGCAGCCCTCCTCCTCCCACCACTGCTACCTCTACCTTCCTCCCAAGCCCCCTGACCACACTGAGCCCAAGTTCTTACTAAAGTGGGTAGAGATGGAACATATCTCAACATAATAAAAGCTATTTATGACAAACCTACAGCCAGCATAACACTCCTCAGCAAAAAGCTTAAAGTCTTTCTGCTAAAATTGGGAACAAGACAAGGATGGCCTCTCTCATCACTTCTATTCAACATAGTAAGTAGTGGAAGTCCTAGCCACAGCAATTAGACAACAGAAGGAAATATAAAGCGATCTAAATTGGAAGAGAAGAGGTAAAATTGTCATTATATGTGGATGACATGAAACTATATATAGAAAACCCTAAAGCCTCTGCATAAAAACAACTAGAGCTAATCGAACAACTCAGCCAGGCAGCAGAAGACAGTATCAACATACAGAAATCAGTGGCATTTCTTTACACGAAAGTAATAATCCCTTTTAAAACCGCATCCAAAAAATAAAATACTTAGGAATACATCTGGCACAGGAAGTGAAAGACTTCTATGTGGAGACCCACAAAACCCTGACTAAGGAAATGAAAGAGGACTTAAAGAAATGGAAAGACATCCCGTGTTCTTGCACTGGAAGAATCCATAATGTCAAAATGGCAACGCTGCCCAAAGCGACCTACAGATTTAATGCGATCCCTATCACATTACCCAGGACATTTTTTCACAGAACTACAACAAACCATCCTAAAATTTATATGGAATCACAGAAGACCTGAAGTTACCAAAGCATTACTGAAGAAAAAGAATGAAGCTGGAGGAATAACCCTCCCAGGCTTCAGACAATACTACAGAGTTAGAATCAAAACAGCACGGTATTGATACAAAAACAGACATATGGAATCAATGGAACAGGATAGAAAGTCCAGAAATAAACCCACACACGTGTGGTCAATACACCCACGACGAAGGAGGCAAGAACACACAGTGGAGGAAAGACAGTCTCTTCAATAAGTGGTGCTGGGAAAGCTGGACAGCTACCTGTAAAAGACTGACATTAGAACATTCTCCAACATCATGTACAAAAATAAACTCAAAATGGATTAAAGACCGCAATGTACAACCAGATACTGTAAAACTCCTAGGGGAAAACACAGACACAACACTCGTGGACATACATTAATGCAGTGTATTTTTTAAACCAGCTCCTGGACTACTGGAAATAAAAGCAAAAATAAACAAGTGGGATCTAATTAAACTCAGACTTCTGCACAACTAAGGATACCATCCACAAAACGAAAAGACAACCTACAGAATGGGAGAAAACCTTTGCAAATGCTGTGACTGACAGGAGACCAATTTTCAAAACATACAAACAGCTCATACACCTTCATAGCAAAGAAACAAGCAACCCAATCCAAAAATGGGCAGAAGACCTAAACAAACAATTCACCACAGAAGACATTCAAATGGCCAATAGGGCACATGAAAAAAAAATGCTCAGCATCACTCATTGTCAGAGAAATGCAGATCAAAACTACAATGCGATATCACCTTACACCAGCCAGAATGGCCACCATTGAGAAGTCTACAAGTGACAGATGCTGAAGAGGGGGTGTGGAGAAAAGAGAACCCTTCGACATTGTGGGTGTGAGTGTTGATTGGTGCAGCCACAATGGAGGACAGTATGGAGGTTCCTTAAAAAAATGAAAACAGACCTACCACATGATCCAGCAATCCCACTCCTGGGAACATATCCAGAGAAAAATAAAATTCAATAACACACATGCACCCCAGTGTTCACAGCAGCACTATTTACGACAGCCAAGACATGGAAACACCCAAATGTCCATCGACAGATGCCTAGATAAAGAAACCGTGGTACATATATACAATGGAACACTGCTCAGCCATAAAACCATGCCACTTGCAGCAACATGGATGGACCTGAAGAATGTCATTCTAAGTGAAGTGGGCCGGAAAGAGAAAGAAAACTGCCATATGTTATTATTTATATGAAGAATCAAAACAATTATAACAATAATAATAAGGCTACAAATGGACTAATTTTCATTTTGATTTCTTCAATATGTGTAAGCACATCTGACTGTCCTTTATGATGGTATTACCATATTCTGTTGATTCTTATTTTGTAGTTGGCTTTAGTCCTTTGATAACTATGCAAGTTGAAAAACCTAATCTCTTCTTAGAAATGGTAAGTAGCACATTTATGTAAACTAAAAAAAAAGTGCAGTATACTGTATACACATATCTATATGCAATATAACGTGTATGTGCAGTCGCACTGTAATAATTCTACCTAATAAAACTGGAAAAGTTGGGGGGGCGGTGAGGGAACAGACATACAGATCAAAGGAACAAAATATAGAGTCCAGAGAGAAAACCCACAAACTTCTGGTCAATTCATCTTCGACAAAGGAGGCAGGAACAACATAGAGTGGAGTAAAGACAGTCTCTTCAGCAAATGACACGGGGAAACTGGACAGCTGCATGGAAATCAATGAAGTTAGGAGACTCCCTCACACCGTGCACAAAAATAAATTCAAAATCGCTTTAGGACTTAAATAAGACAAGACACTACACGCCTCTTAGAAGAACACATACGCAAAACATCTGACACACACGTCAGCAACGCTCTCCTAGGGCAGTCCACCCCAGCAAACAGACATGAAGGCACAGATACACAAACAAATGGGACCAAACTGAATTCATCAGCTTTCTGCACAGCAAAGGAAACCATAAGTAACACAAAAGGACAACCTACGAGATGGGAGAAAATATTCACAAAAGATGAGACTGACAAGGGGTTAATTTCCAGAATACATAAACAGCTCATACAACTGAATAACCAAACATCAACCCAATCCAAAAATGGTCAGAACTAAACACGCCTTTCTCTGGTGAAGACATACAAATGGTCAACAGGCATATGAAAATACTCCTCAGTATCACTAATTATCAGAGAAATGCAAATCCAAACTACAATGAAGTACATCACCTCACACCTGTCAGAAAGGCTGTCATTCAAAAGTCCACAAAGGAGAAATGCTGGTGAGGCTGTGGCGAAAAGGGAAGCCTCCTACACTGCTGCTGGGAATGCAGTTTGGTGCAGCCATTGTGGGAAACAGTAGGGGCGTTCCTCAAAAGACTAAAAATAGACTTGCCAAAAGCTTTTGATCTTGGTGGCAGGGCGACTAGCTCCCAAAGGCCCAGGCCTCGCCCCTTATTCTGCCCCAGGTCAACTATGACACAGAAGGTCCGGGGTGGCCTCCACTGGCCAGGCTGGTCCACCTACACAGGAAGGCCATAACCTGAGGGCCAGTGGGAGGTGCTCCCTGGCTGTATGGCTGCCTCCCACCTCCAGAAGTTGCACCCGCTTTCCCAAACCCGAGTATAAGCGGCAGCAAAGACTACTAATGAGGGAGCTGGGGCACCACGAACCAGGGCGGGGGACCGGACCCGCCTCAGGGTCCTAACAGGACATGCGGCCTGGATCTCACCCACAACACCCCTCCCTGTGAGCCTCCCCAGCTGCACAGCCCAGGCCTCACCCTCCGGCTCCCTGACCTGCGCACCCCCACCAGCGCCCCCTTACCTGCCTGGTGAAGGCAGCAGAGACGACAGAAAGTGGCGGCCCAGACCCCAGGCCATGTTCCTCCTTGGGTAGCCGGTCCAGGAGAACCAGGCTCCTGCCCAGCTTCCATTGCTCTGGGCGGGCTCAGACGTCCAGGCTTCCATACCTGCCCCACCTCTGCTGGACCACAGAGGGGAAGCTCCGGCTGGGGTTCCTGCAGTGTGGGACAAGGAGAGTGGGGCTGGGTGGGGCCGGGCGGGGAGGGGTGGTGGGGAGGGCCGACCCTGTGGCCCACCCCTCCAGGTCCCCACCAACCCTAACGCCCCCACCCCGCCACCGACTGGGTCCTGATACTCAACCAGAACCACCACGGGCCCTGGACCAGGCCACACCCCCAGCCCCACTCCCCTGCTTGCAGTCCCCCACCCAGTCACTGCCTCCCCACCTCTGGCCAGGCCTGGTCCCTGACCTGGACCCCCAAGGCAAAGCTCCCTCTCCTTACACTGAAGTCCCCGCCCTCACACTCCCCACACACCAAGCTGACCCCTCATGCCCCACCCGGGGTCCCCTCCACCATCACAAGATGGTCCCCCTCACCTTTCACCCTGGGACTACCACCCACCCCTAAGTGGGGTCCCCTCACTCCCAGCGGCCCTTCACCCCTCAGCCTTCCCCCCCCTCACCCCAAGTGCACCCCTAACCCAAGCTGACCCTCTCACCCCTCACCCCACGTGGGCAGGGCTGTCCAGCTCTAATCACCATGGTGACAGCCACCAAACAAGGATCCTGAGCATGTGCGGGGTGCGCAGTCAGCTGTCCCAGGCTCAGGGCACGGGCGGGTGGGGCTGGAGGCAGCTGCAATTCCTCAGCTTGCAAAGCACTTCGCCCTGTCAGCCTGCTCCTGGGAGGCAGGCGCAGGGTGGTTTAGGGCACTCGGCAGTGGCAACAGCAGGATTGGGGCTGCCACACCCTAGAGTAGGTATTTGATCCCACTTCTCGCTGTCACTGCTGAAGCCCCCAAACACTGAATGCACAGTGCCACCTCTTAGGAGCAGCATGACCTGAGGACAAGCCTCCAGGGAACCTGGGGCAGCAGAGGCCACCACCAGGCCAGGCCCCTGGGAGATGGGAGCAAACCCACAGGGAGGCACAGGGCAGCCCCCTTCTCCCGCCACCGAAGCTGCAACCTCTCAGTCTTCCTCGCTCCCTGACAAAACCTCACAGGCCTCCAGAGAGCAGGCTGACCTACACATGTGAGTCCTGCAAACCTGGGGCAGCAGAGGCTGCTCCCAGCCCCGGCCACAGGGGAGATGGGAGCAAATGACTAGCTCCCGAGGGGCAGCCCCTCTCCTCCCACTGCCGCCGTTACCTCTGCTACCATTATCCCAGCCCCCTGAACGCACTGAGTCCATGGTCTTACCAAAGTGGGTATACAGGAAACATATCTCAACATAATAAAAGCTATTTATAATAAACCCACAGCCAGCATAATACTCTAGCAAAATACTCAACCAAGAAAAGCTGGAAACCTTGCCACTAAAATCTGGAACAAGACAAAGATGCCCACTCTCACTACTTCTCTTCAATGTAGTATTGGAAGTCCTAGCCAGAGCAATAAGACAACAAAAAGAAATAAAAGGGATCTAAATTGGAAGAGAAGAGGTAAAACTGTCATGTGTGGATGACATGATACTATATATAGAAAACCCTAAGGCTCCAAACAAAAACGACTAGAGCTAATAAAACAACTCAGCAAGGTAGCAGGACACAACATCAACATTCAGAGACCAGTGACATTCCTTACACGAAAGGAATAATTCCTTTTAAAACTGCATTCAAAAAAATAAAATACTTAGGAATAAATCTGGCCCAGGAAGTGAAAGACATATGCAGAGACCTACAAACCACTCACTAAGGAAATTAAAGAAGACCTAAAGAAATGGAAAGCTACCCCATGTTCTTGCATTGGAATAATTAATATGGTTAAAACGGCCATACTACCCAAAGCAATCTACAGATTTAATGCGATCTCTATCAAAGTACCCAGGACATTTTTCACAGAATTAGAACAAATCATCCTAAAATTTATATGGATCACAAAAGACCCAGAATTACCAAAGCATAACTGAAGAAAAAGAACAAAGCTGGAGCAATAACCCTCCCAGACTTCAACAACACTACAGAGTTACAATAAGAACAGCATGGACTGGTACAAAAACAGACCTACAGGATCCATGGAACAGAATAGAGAGCCCAGAAGTAAACCCACAAACTTCTGGTCAATTAATCTTTGACGAAGGAAGCAAGAATATACAATGGAGTAAAGACAGTCTCTTCAGCAAATGGTGTAGGGAAAACTGGACAGCTGCATGTAAATAAATGAAGTTAGAATACTTCCTCACACCTTACACAGAAATAAATTCAAAATGGCTTAAAGACTTAAACATGTAGACAAGACACTATAAACCTCTTAGCAGAAAACAAAGGCAAAACATTATCTCACATACTTCTCAGTAATCTTCTCCTAGGGCAGTCTACTCAAGCAACAGAAACAAAAGCACAAATAAACAAACAAATGGGACCTAACTGAGCTTATTTACAAGCTTCTGCACAGCAAAGGAAACCATAAGCAAAACAAAACGACAAACTTCAGAATGGGAGAAAATATTTGTAAATGATTCAACTGACAAAGGCTTAATTTCCATATTATATAATCAGCTCATAAAGCTTAATAGCAAAAAACCAAGAACCCAATCCAACAATGGGCAGAAGATCTAAACAAGCATTTCTCCAGTGAAGACATACGAATGATCAATAGGCACATGAACAAATGCTCAGTATCACTAATTATCAGAGAAATGCAAATCAAAACTACAATGAGGTAACTCCTCACACCAGTCAGAATGCCCATCACTCAAAAGTTCATGAATGATAAACACTGGAGAGGGTGTGGAGAAAAGGGAACCCTCTTATACTGCTGATGGGAATGTAGTTTGGTGTAGCCATTATGGGAAACAGTATGGAAATTCCTCAAAAAACTAAAAATAGACTTACCCTATGATCCAGCAATTCCTTTTCTGCTATATATCCAGAGAGAACTCAAATACAAAAAGATACCTGCACCACTATATACAATAGCCAAGACATGGAAGCAACCTAACTGAATTTTCAGCAACAGATGACTGGATAAAGATGTGGTATATTTATCCAATGGAATACTGCTCTGTCATAAAAAAGGATAAAATAATGCCATTTGCAGCAACATGATTTGACTTAGAGATCATCATTCTAAGTGAAGTGAGCCAGAAACAGAAAGAAAAATACCATATGATATCAGTTTTATGTGCAATCTAAAAAAAAGACACTACGAACTCACCTACAAAACAGAAGCAGACTTGCAGAGTTAGTAAACAATCTTACAGTTACCAGGGAAACGGGGGAGGAGGATAAATGTGGAAGTTTTGAGATTTACAAATGTTAGTCACAGAAACCTATGTTCAGTATCTGATAATAATCTCTAATGGAAAAGCGGCTACAGCCACCAACTGAGGAAGCAAGAGAAGAAAGGTGAATGAGTTATCCTGGGCTATAGCCCAGTCCTCCTAAAGTCCTGGGCCTGCTGCTGACACTGCCCCCTGACCACACGGCGCCCTCCTCCCAGGAGCAGACTGACGTGAAGATATGTGTCCTGTCAACCTGGGGCAGCACAGGCCACCCCCAAGACAGGCCCCAGGGGAGATGGGAGCAAGTCCACCTGCCCCATGGGGGCAGCCCCCCTCCCCGCTGCCCCCTAACCGCACCGCCACTGCTTCCTGGGAGCCCACTGTCCTGGATACCAGTGTCCCACGAACCTGGGGCAGCTGCGAGGAGAGGCGCGCTACCCCTGGTGAACTGGGCGATTTGCCCCCATCTCCCCCGCGGCATGGCCTGGGGTCGGCCTCTGCTGCCCCAGGCACATCCCCAGGTCAGCCTGCTCCCTGTAGGGGGGCGCGGTGTGGTCGGAGGTGGCTGCGGCGGCGGGTTAGGGGTCTGCCCCTGCCAGCCTGTGGATTTGCTTCAAACTCCCCCCGGCCTGCCCTGGACTC